TTGAAGTTGTTTTATTTTTCAAAGAAAGCAAACGCCAATTTTATTTTTTGATATGTTGTTAAGCTATAAAAGCACTATATAAACAAATTTTAAAAATTAAAAAACGTTTGGTTCTTCATAGTTAAAAATGGCGCCAAACAAAAGAAGTTTTTCATTTTTTTGACATTTTGAGCTCCGATAGCTCAAAAAATTCAATACAGATTTTAACGAAATTTTGTGATTTATTTGTGACTATAAGGTACTTCTAAAATAACAAAAAATATTTATTTATTTTGCGATAGATTTTGAGCTACGCTGATTTGAAATCGGTGAAATTTTCAAAAAATTCATTTTTTTCTAGATTTTTTGTTCAAAATATCCTTTGATTCGAGACAATAACATTTATTTTTTTTGTTATTACATTGTTTCACTGATATGCACAAAAAATTTCATCAAGATATGTTGGCTAGTTCAAGAGATATAGCGTTCTACGTAGGTACAAGTTTTGAAAAAAATCGCTCAAAAATTTGAGGATGCTGTCACAAAAATCTTCATAACTTGAAAAATAATTGAAATTTTTTTATAAAAATTTTATTTTGTCGATGAAATACATTGAGGTACTTACTGTTCAAATTTTAAAAAAATCGGAGATGGTCGGGCGTGGACTTTTTTTTAAATCGTTCAAGTTGACGGAGAATGACCCATATATATATATATATAATCATTATCATCGGTGTTTGGTTTGTAGGTGTTACCCTGTTATGGAACGCGTGTATTTAGGACTTTTCTAGTGCTTGGTATTTAAAGTTTGTTTATTCCAATCATGCATGTGTATGTCTAATTTTTAAACTTGTAAGGTAGAACAAAGAAGCCTGAAGCCTGAGTGGCGCTCGACAGAAAAGTTTGAAGAATGTGTCTCAGGAAGGGTGTGCACCATAAGAGAAAGGCAAACCTGTGGTCTTATGATTTGTTAAAAATTCTCTTTCAGTTCTAAAAAGATGAGAATAATAGAAAAAAATCAAAGATAATAACAATCAATTAAAATTAATTATATATTGCATTTGACCATTCCATCGGGTATCACAATAATAAAAAGCACCCTTTATACGTTCAATTTCGATAGTGATTCGTTGTAAATAAAAATAAATATTTTGCTCTAAATTTATTAACAAATGTTTAAAAGCGAAATATCGTATTAGAATGAAAATCAATTGAAATGAAAAAACGCTTTTTGGAAAATTTTATTTATTTATTAACAATTACTTCATTCAAAGGAATTACATTTAGATACTTTCTCAACGTTGCATCAATTAAAGATGCATTAGTGTCCAAATGACCTCCACAACCTTTGGACGGGAGTCCATGCCACTGCATGCCCAATATGTGAGATGTCCGCTGGTAGCAAAGGTTAATGTTGGGCAGATAACACAATCCTTCAATTATTAATATACCAGGCTGGGAAAACAAAATATTTGACAAACCAGCTCCGTGTGGAGCTACAATGATAGAGGCAGAACCAAAAATTAACATAGTTTCATTGAGCGATGGGAGTGGGTTGTCTGTGTAGACATGATACGTGAAGCCGTATTCTTGAGCTGTCATATTTAAATAAGAAGATATTTTTTCATGGTGCAGGAAATGCCTTTTTCCAGTTCTTTTAATCAAAATTAATTTATCTCTTGGTTGATAAGTTGACTTAACCAACTTTTTCAAAATGTAGTTTCGAAATTGTCTGTGTAGATACTGCAACTCTATAATGTTAGCGGACCCACATGGCGTTGATCTTGGAACGTAAGCAATATTTGTTCTAATTTTACCGAACACTAATCTAGACTCATTCAAACCTAATATGTTTAATATTTTAACAAATCTTCGGTTTGAATCCATCGACAAAATTTTTATTTGCGGATTCTTTTTTAAAAACGTTACAAACAAAGAAAGTCGTGGTATATCTTCTATCATGCTGTGGAAAAACCCTTCTCCCCAGTACTGAGAAATGAGATAAACTTCGTCGTATTGCGGAAGTTTAAGCAGCTCTGAATAAGATGGTCTATGAATTCCACCCTGATAACAGTCATTTGGTCTTACGTACAAATTTTTACAAAAAACTTGATTAACATTATTGATAATTGCATTAGTGTAAATCTGCATTGGATACAAAACGTCTGGAATTTGGTAAATGTAGTTCAGACTACTAGGAATCATCTTTATGGATCTATTCATGCTGTAAAGTTGAGGGTAGAATTTTACTTGGATTGAAGTAGGTTGAGAGGCCTTTTTCTCATCTGTGTTGCAAGTGAAGTTGTAATAATAACTGTAATCATAGTTGATTGAACCCGAGAACACCCAATTGCAAAACTCTTCTGTTGATGTTAGTCGGTAGTATTTGTTGAGTAACAAAAATCTGTTTGGACAATGAGGCGATGTTCTAGATGTTATTTCTAGACAAGTTTTCTTATAAATTTTTTCAGATATTAAAATTTCGTTACTTGTCCTATTTAATTTTCTCCCAAATTTTTTCGAGTTAATGACATAAAATGGTAAATTATAAACGCAAGAAAAATTGTTTAGTTTATCATAAAACGATTCATCTCCTTCAAACAAATTCTTTATAGTTTCATTCCATATAGTGGAATTTAGTTCCGTGTAGTTCATTTTCAAAATCACGAGCCTCAATAATGACAAGTTTCGGTTCAACTCATAAATACTGTCAATAACATCGCCGTACTCCGTGCGGTAAAACTCGTTAGGTGTTTGTGAAGAAAACTTCAACCAAGTATTAATGTTCAACTTAATTTTTTCAACTTGCTTTTTAAAAAAAAATTTATCATCAAAGTAAAAGCACAAAAGAATAACACAAATTATTAACGCATTGAAAACAAAATTTATTTTCTTCATAGCTGATTGATTCAATTCCAACAAAAAGTTAATTATTTATGTTATTGAACAGTTTCTGTGTTTAAAAAATTTGAATTAATGCGAATAGTAATTACACATGTGAAATTGCATGAACACTATCATCACTTTATATAATATCGGTATATAATATTGGTATGTAATGTTGAGTAAAGCTGGGCGAAATTTGAGTCATTGTACTACTATAGTAATTGGTGGCAAAAATACTTGCAGAGTACAGTACTATATATATATATATATATATGTGTGTGTGTGTGTGTGTGTGTCTGTGTGTGTGTGTGTCTATGTATGTGTGCGCATGCGTGCGTGTGTGTGTGTGTGCGTGCGTGTGATTAAGACTGTCAGAAATGCAATTCTTGATAAAAAACACAGCAAGTTTAATTTTTCGATTATTCTAACGGTTGATCGTAAATCATTCTTAAGTTTCTTGAGTTCAAAACCAAAATTTTTATTTATTGTAAGCATGATAGAACAAAATAGCTTTTTTCGGTATTTCCATATCATCTTCGGTGTACGAATTGTGTATGTGGCCAGATGCTCAAATATATATATATATATATAAATATACAGTGTCTCTACTTTGTTGATTCATTGTTCGTTTAAAGTAAATACTTAACGATCATTTAATTAATTTTACTATCTTCAACTTTGTGCGATATGACACTATTACATGTCATCATTATCGATGATTTCTCTGTTTCTAAATTTATTTCTATAAAGTATTTTAATTGCACGTTGTTGAATATTTGTTATCTGATGTCGTTGTTTTATGAGTATTGATTCGGCTAGTTGTAAATGTAATAATGGTTGTTATTGTAATATAAGATTTCAACATTTTTTTCCAAGATTTGCCTAGTGATTATAGTTTTGTGTTTCTCTTTGATGTGATTCTTTATAGCATCAGTTTGTACGTGCATCGTGAGTCTTCTCAATAGTTTGGTCGTCGTCAAACCAATATATTCGGAATTACGGTACCCACACTCTAATCGTAATCGAATCGAACTTTAGATAATCGTACAATCACTAAAATATATACTGGTGGCGGAATTATAAAATAAAAATAAAATACTGTATCTAAAGTGTATCAGAAATGAGAAAGTAGTTTTTGCATCATGATTTGCTATTTTTTGCTTGAACTTGAAAAAAAATGCCACTAGAATTCGTGCATAGTAAAAAAAGAAAATTAACTGACTCAGGTCACTTGTCTGTGAAAGATGCGGCTATGGAAGAAAAAACTTTCTGAAAATGTGATCATATATATATATATTTACAATATTCTATAAATTTTACCGAATGTTTGGCGTTAATAATATATATACATTAATAAGCGCTAATTAAAATCAAAAAGTTCTCAAAAGCGCTATCTATAGTCAAAGTCAAAAAAGAAAAAAGAACAGTCAATGGCGGTAATAACAAACAAATAATTATTCACTTAACAAAATCAAAAATAAGTAAGTTTTAAGTTTCTTTTTAAAATCATCAAGTTTCAAACCCTTAGTTCTAAAAGATCTCGGTAAGCTGTTCCAAACCATTGGTCCAGATACTGCAAAATCTCTTGATGCTATCTGCAGATTGACATCTGGTACAACCAGCAAAATGCCATCATCTGATCTAAAGTTCATACCACTCATCATTATAGCTTTCTCTTTTATTTTATCTATCAAATAACTTGGTAACAAGCCATGTACAGTTTTATACATTAAAATACATATTTTATATTTAATTCTTTTCTTTATAGTAAGCCAATGAAGGCCCTTAAAAATTGTAGTAACATGGTTAAATTTGAGACCTCCAACAATCAATTTGGCTGCTCTATTCTGAATGGATTGAATTGCAGAAATTGACCTATCTAGCTAACCGTAAAACAGGCCATTGCAATAGTCCAATCGTACAAGAGAATCTGATGGTCTACACAATCGAATGCCGCACTCATATCTAAAAACGTGACTAGAGCCACATGTTGTTTGTCTAAAGCGGCTAACAACTCAGAAAACACATAAAGCAGTGAAGTTTCTGTTGAATGATCGCAGCGATATCCAAATTGGTGAACTGGTAGCAGGTTGTTTACATTCAAATGATTCAAGAGCTGTTTGGCAACCACTCGTTCAAATATCTTGGAAATGAAACAGATGTTGGAAATTGGTCTATAACTAGACAAATCATTTCAATCCATATTCACTTTCTTTAAAACTGGATAAACCATAGCATGCTTACAACCATTAGGAAATGTGTCACTGCTCAGTCTCAGATTTAAGATGCTGGTAAGAAAAACGATGAATAAATGAATATATTTCTTTAAAATATGGGTCGGAAAGACATCTATCATACATTTTTTTGATGGCAAACTGAGTGCAATTTTTTTTAACGTCAGATTCTGTTAAAAGCATAAAGTCAGGAAAAAAACAATTCCCATTGTACTGAGCTTGACAAATAGTCGGACAATTACTCACATTGGTAGACTGTTTAATTTTATTTACTTTATCATTAAAAAACTTTAAAAATTGAGACGAATCTAAACCAACAATTTCACTCAATCACTGACCAATGACCTGATTACAAAGGACTTTATTAATAACATTCCATAGATTTTTAGAAGATCCACTATTATCTGCAACAAGTCTTTTCCAATAACTGTTTCTTTTTTGTGAAAAAAGCCTAGATTTATTTTTCAGAGCTGCTATCCACTAATTTTTACATTTCTCTGTCTGATATTTTCTATAATTCCTTTCTTTCTTACAAGAAAGTCTTTTAAAAGCTCTGCATTCACTATCATACCATGGAGCATTAACATCACATCTGACTTCTGCAAAACGAAGTGGAGCAACTGCATCAGCCAATTTCTTGAGTTCAAAACTCATCATATCAAACTCAATATTAATATTATTGCTTTGGCAAGACCTTGATAATAGAGAAGTCTGTACATACTTAATGAGATTGCTTTCATTTAGGTATATCCAGGATCTAACTTGTTTCTTGACTATTTTGGGGCGCTTATGAATTAATGGTGTATTAACCTGAATTAAACTATGGTCTGAAAAATTCCCACTGGGAAAAATCTTAATATCTGAAATCTGAAAATCTTGAGAACAAATAATCAAATCAAGTATATTTCCATGTTCATGAGTCGGTTCGTCGATCAAAATTTTAATTGAAACATTTTTAATATTTCCGATAAATTTACAGTATGACGATCTTCCTGTTTTTCAAGGTGAATGTTGAAATCACCCAAAAGTATGATATTTAAACTAAAAGAAGTGATATTTTCTAGTAAACATAAAAATTCTTCAAAAATAAATTACTAACTAAAACTGATCCTAGCCTGTAGAGGGCTAATTGAACAAAATCTTTGTTGCTAATAAATAATTTAACAGCAAGTGCCTCAAATGAACTAAATATTGGCAAATCTATTTTCTTAAACTTAAATTCATTACTGAAGTAAATAATTAAACCCCATGGTGAAGATCATTTATCTTCAGAAAATCAACATAATTATATCCTGGTGGCATTGATGATTTAACAGAAATGTTATTCGAAGATCCATGCCAAGTTTCGACTAAAACGAAAATATCTAGCCCATCATGAATCAAATCATGAATCGTATCAGTTTTAGAAATAAATGATAAAATGTTCAATAAACCTAGTGTTAAATTACGATTTATTATGTTGCAGTCTTTATAATTGTTATAATTTATTTCAATAATTTATTCTTGACATATTTTATATTAACATTGGTTTTTTCTGTATTTTTACAATGTTCCATCTCCCTACCTGTCCTCTCACTCTGAACAAAAAATTTTGATTGTTTTCTTCTCGCTCCATAACTTTAGCTTTATCAACAGATGATTTGAATTCCTGCCTCTGATCCTTTGTTAAATCAAAGTTCAGTCCAACATGTGAAAATTATTTTAACGACTTGAATTTATATACATTTCTCATTATTGAGTCTCTTAGTAAAACGCAATCTAACTTTATCAAAATGGGTCTAACGACAATTTCGCATTTCCTTCCCAGTCTCATTATTTTGGTTACATTTTTTTTCAAAAACATTTCCTGTCAAATGCTTTAAAATTTTCAAAACATTGGAACGATCATCTTTACTTTCAGCTAAACGAAACATCAATAATGTGATTTCTGTAATACAAGATGATGTCGTTATCTTGATT